AAAAAAAAAAAAAAAAAAGAAAAGAAAAGAAAGAAAGAAAGAAAGGGAGGTTTTGGGTTCCACAAGAGAGGCTTAGAACAGAACTGCCCCAGGCAGCACGGGATCAAGGCTGGGCCTGCTTGAGAGTGAGGGAAGCAGGCTTGGAGCCACAGGGCTAGGCATGGAGAATGCTCACTGTTGGTGGAGGCCTGAGAGGAAAAGTGACAATGAGACAAGAACTGGCCTCCCAGAGAAGCAACTGGTAGGACAACAGTATAACTCAGTGTGGCCAGTGTCCTCATCTCTAGCAGAGGGTAAGGGCAGGCATGTGGCTTGACAAGGTTGAGGATGACAGCCTAGTGGCCAGGCCAGGAATGGGGAGGGATCCACCACCAAGACCCTGCCTCCCAGTGAGGCTGGGCCCTGTGAGAGAGGAGACAGGGAGACAAGAGCTCTAGATTATCTGATGGGAGGAGCCCTAGTCTAGGGGCAGGCCAAGCCTGAACACTGAAGGACAGCCTACCCTAGACGGCCAGCATATGACTGAGGGGATGGGGCATGCTGAGGGAGCTGCAGGACAGCCAGGCCCATCCCCAAGGACAGTGAGAAGTAGATGTGCCAGGACCACAGGGTGACAGGAAAGGGACATTAACAGTAGAAAACATGGCTTGGCACCTGTTGCTCAGCGACTAAGGCGCTCGCCACAAACACCCAGGCTGGCAGGTTCAAACTCTGCCCAGGGCCTGCCAAACAACAGTGACAAGTATAACAAAAAAATGACAGGCACCTGTACTCCCAACTACTTGGGAGGCTGAGGCAAGAGAATCACTTAAGCCCAAGAATTTGAGGTTGATGTGAGCTGAGACGCCACAGCACTCTACCAGTCTCAAAAAAAAAACTCAAACCACACGTTAGGAAAACATGACCTGAGTTGCCAGGTCTGGCCTCCTGACCTGGGCCTTGGGGTAACTGCAGCCTGGCCATTGGCACCCCCTCCCACAGCCTGTGAAGTAGGGGATAGGGCCACAGTGGGTCGCCTGTAGCTCCTCAGGATTCCTGCAGCACCAGGGACCAGCAGGAGGTGGCACATAAGACAGCAATGGTGGAAAACAGCTCATGAGAAAGTTGCATCCATAAAAGGGATAAGAACCCCAGGGGTTTGCTCAGCGGTGCCCACCAAGACCAATGCAGCCACTGCCTCTCTTCAGACAGGGCACCTGCTGGGCAGTCCAGGCTGACCTAGCTCCTTGCCTGCCCAGCAGCCCCACCTGGGCCTCCAGAAAGAAAGTCTTAGTCAAGGTGTACAGCTGTTCTACTCAGCATCTTGGCACACATTCCTTCCAATTTCCAGAGACTTAGTTCCATAAGGAAAGGCAGGGCAGAGATAAATTCCTGACACAAGACAGCAGGGCAGGGAACAGGCAGGGCTGGAGTAAAGCTGCAAGTTCAAGAGTGGGAGGAAAACAAGAGAAAAGGGGAGGACAGGAGAGCATCAAGCTGAGCTGGGTGGCATTTTTGATGTAACACCAAACTTCTGAAGACTCCCCCCTCCTGCTGCCCAGAAAACCTGGGTTATCCCCAAGAGGAAGCCTAGGCTTGGCCAGGGGCATCCCAGAACAAGTCCACTGACGTCTCATGTCAACAGCCCCTTGTTACAAAGCTCTTAGAGGCTGTGGGGCCTAAAAGGAGTGAGAGGGCGGGCGCTGGCTATCGTAACCACATGTGGTGTTCACTCATTTCCTGCATGGGACCCACAGCTAGGTGGTGACCTCGCTCATGAAGACCTCCACAGCACCTTCCTTCCTGGAAGGAAACTACAGGTGTGCTGGAAGCCTGCCTGCTGGAGAGTTACATCATGCTGTGTTAGATTGGCTGGGAAGGCAATCTAGTCAAGCTGGGAAGTACCCTCTGAGTAAGCCACAAGCCAAAGGTTTCCCAGATTGCTCCTGGGTCTGGGCCTGCCTTCTTCCATTGCAAAAAAACACACAGCATCTTTTTCTATCAGAGCACAGGTGGATACTCACAAAATGCTCAGAAGATTTTACTGTGTCTTTAGCTCCTTTAATATAGCTACCCTTTTTTTTCTTTTTTTTGAAACCAAGACTCACTTTGTCGCTCTTGGTAGAGTATTGTGGCACCATAGCTCACAGCAACCTCAAACTCCCAAGTAGCTGGGACTACAGGTGCTCGCCACTAGGCCCGGCTATTTTTAGAGGCGGGGTCTTGCTGTTGCTCAGGTTGGTCTCAAATCCGTGAGCTCAGGGCAATCCATCTGCCTCGGCCTCCCAGAGTCCTAGGATTACACCGCACCCAACCAATATGTCTACTTTTTATAAAAAAAGAAATAAAGAGACATGGCACCTGTAGCTCAAGTGGCTAAGGCGCCAGCCACATACACCAGAGCTGGCAGGTTCGAATCCAGCCCGGGACTGCCAAACAACAATAACAGCTGCAAGCAAAAAAATAGCCAGGTGTTGTGGCAGGTGCCTGTAGTCCCATCTACTTGGGAGGCTGAGGCAAGAGAATTGCTTAAGCCCAGGAGTTGGAGGTTGCTATGAGCTGTGAAGCCACAGCACTCTACCCAGGGCAACAGCTTGAGGCTCTGTCTCAAAAAAAAAAAAAAAAAGAAAAGAAAAGAAAAGAAAAGAAAAGAAAGAAAACTTATTCCTCAACACTGCTGTCTCTGCATCGCTTCTAGGAAAAGGAAAATCAGATTTCCTGACAGACATCACCAGCAGAAGCCTGCTATGAACAAACTATGGGAATTTCACAATGCTGGACGCAAACAGATCTCTAAGCACAGCAAACCAAGGGAGCTCCAGCTAGGTTATCACAGTTGCCACTGCTGAGAGGGTGAGGGGAACCTCCATGGCGCCTTCTGACTCCAGGATTTCCAAGCCTGGACAGAGTCAGAAACGTCTCCCATTCACTAAGGAGCTGAGCCCCAAAGTCGGAACTGGCAAAGAAGAGGAAACTTACTAACCCTTTTATCTCTTCCCTCCCAGAACCTGCAGACCTTCCCCTCAGGTAGGCAGGTCAGAATGTCATCTCCATTCAACAGATGGAAAAAACAGTCTTGGAAGGAGTCTGCTCAGTCACCCAATGGGCGCCCAGAAACGCAGCTGGGCTGGAAGTGCCCAGAGTTTGGCCCTATGCCTCCAGGACAGACTGCCTCCTGCCTTGTTTCCTCCAGCCGAAAAGAGACCTCTAAAAATGAACTTCCAAAGACAAGGTCAGAGTTCTCGATCTGATCATGACCCTTCCTGTGGCCTACCAGGAACTCCCAGGGTACGAGAATAAGTCCCCAGGCTCCGTCCCCACAAGAACTGCTCCCTCCTTCGCCCAGTTCGGCCGCCTCCTGCCTCCCAGCCCGACGGCCCTCAGTCTGGAGCCAGCTCCAGCTGGCTCGACCAGGCCTCTTTTGTGGGAACCGGCGCCACCAGGCCCGCGGCCAGACAGCGGAAAGACAAAGTCCCCTTCTGGCGGCCCGGAGCAGCGCCCGGACGCGCCCCCTGCGCCCCGGACGTACCTGACGCAGCTCCTCGCGGCACACCGCGCAGTAGCGCTGCTCGCACAGCACCCGCATCTTGGTGGAGCAGCGGTAGCACACCGGGTGGTCGCAGCGGCCCAGCGCCGTGGCCTCCAGGTCTCCGCAGCACAGCACGCAGCTTCCGCCGCCCCGCTCCGGCGCCGTCACCACCGCCTCCAGCTCCGTGCGCCGCCCCTCGGCGCCCGCCGCCGCCGCCGCCGCCGCCATGGTCCGGGATCCGGCCCCCTCCCGGCCGGCGCGGCACGGCCTGGCTCCCGGCGGGCCCGCCCCTTCCGGGGCGATGTCACTGCCCCGCCCAGCAACGGGCCCGCCCGGCGGAAATGCGCTACGCGACTTCCGCCCCAGTGAGAAGCCGGATAGAACGGCGCCCCCTCCCAACCTCTCTCTGCAGTGGCACTCTAGCCCGAGCCGGCCGTTTGAAGGACTGGCGCTGCCCGCTTGCATGTCCTTGGCTAGTAGTTGTACCCTGTCGGAGACTCCGGGAACTAGGGCTGCTGGACATGAGCGAGAAATAATGTTTTAGTGTTAAGTATTGCTAAGTGTTCATGGGCTGTACTCAATACTAAAATGGTATTCTTTCTTCGTCTGAACTTTTTTTTTGTTTTTTTGAGACAGAGCCTCAAGCTGTCCCCGTGGGTGGAGTGCCGT